TTTAATTATCTTTTTTTATTGAATAAATATTTATTTGTTATTGTAAATACATGTTTACTTAGTATTATTTAAAGAAATTTGTATCAAGATTTAGTAAATTTTAAAAAATGTATTATCCTTTATATAAAAAGATCAATTATCTTTATTTTTCTCTGTTTCTCTTATTTAAGGTACATGATTTGTACATGTAAATGTATACTGTATGTTGTTTATTAAAACGTTATGAATCGATTATGCGTGTTTTAAAATAAATAAACAACTTGTTTTGAATTCATGAAAAAGTATTTTGAAAATCTCTTTTTTAAACAACATATATACTTATTTATAATATCAATTTCGTGAATAAAAATTTCAATAGTATTATGACACAGAAAATTTGTTCCTGCTGTAAAATTTATAACATATTTTCTTTTGCAATTTTTCACGAAGTAATATCAGCGGTATAAATAAGATCTTGTTTTCAAGTTCTAGATCAATTAGTATAATAAAAATCATTAGTAGAAATATTAATAGAAATTTTATTATATATAATTTTATTCTTCAAGAAATATAATATTGGAATATGATAAGTTTTCGTATTCTAATTTTTCGAATTGTATACAAAATACACATTGTATAATAATTACTGTACAAATGTGTGAGGGCATTTTTTATATCATTAAGGCTTGTTTTTGCAATGTATGATTACCAAGAAATTCAGGAACAAATTTTATGACGAATCTCTTGGTAACATTTAATTTTTAGACAATATTAAGAATCTTTATTTTAAATCTCATATGTAAGAAACACAATCAATACTAGAAATTTAAAATGCCTATTACGGTCGAAGCTGGATCTTCATTGCTTTAAATAATTCAATTTTGAATTACTAATATACACTATACATGTACTTGTATATGTCATATTGTAGTCTTTTCAAATTGCGCGTCGAATTGTTTTGGATTTATAAACGCAATTAAAACTACTCTATAATTTTTAGATAACTACGTATTATAAAAACGGTTCGATATAAAAAAATTATCATATTCATTTTCTCAATACTTTGATTGAAATATCAATTTATTTATATAATGACCTGTAATGTAATAAAATCTATTCATATTCTTTTTTAAAGATATACATATATGTTACATCTCCAAACATTACTAAAAATATAAAAATTTCATAAATTGTTCTATTATTACATTTAAATATCTGTATAAAATTTGAGTACAATTCTTTTATTGGTTTAAAAATTATTTAATTTTTTGTTTGCTTTGATTCTTATGTCAATAATTATAATTGCATTTTATTGTGCTTATCTACGAATTTGATAATCGTAGTTTTACGAATTAAATCATCAAAAATTAAATTTTTTATATATGCTAATAAAATGTCTAATAAATGTTTAATTGTGCAAAAGTTTATTTAAATTCATTTAACAACTGCAGCAAAATATGAATATTTCACTGTAAAGTCATTATAAGCCAAATTATTTATTATTTTTGTTTTGGGTTTTAATTGGCTTAAAGATGTATTTATAACAAAAAATTGTGTTATCTTTTTATTAATTTTGACTTTTTAGCTGATAATTTTTTGGCTGATACTTTTAGTTTAATATTATACAGCCAAAATATCCTTAATTCTCATGGGGACTTCAATTTTTTCTACACGCGAAAATTGTGCGAGCTGAAATTCTCTGAACTCAAAAATATATTTCTTTTCTGCGTGGAATTAAAAAAGAGCAGTGTTGTTTTTATCAGCGACATGAGTTGTAAAGGCAAGACTCCGCGTGATATTGCTTCATATCTTTTACCCTCGCTGGATCAGAATTACTAACTAGATCGCATGCGTGCACCGCGAGATAAACGCGGCCGTGCACTCGAAAGAAAGGCTTCATTTTTAATTAACTAAACTAGAAGTTCACACAGTAACTTAGAGCTTTTATGTAATAACAACATGCGGTAACGCTACAATTTGCCTGCACACGCAAAAGCATAACACGTTATTAATATTACTGACCATTATTAGTCGGAAAGGCGGCATTAAGTTGACCTAAATAAGCATCTATAAATTGATGCTAGCATTCTTGTTGGACTTATATACCTTTAATGATAATTAATTATACGAGCTTTAACTTCTTGGCTTGCAATATGCAAGATGTCCCTTATTATCCAAAAATTTTGCTCATTTGAATAATTATTTCGTAGTATATTTTTATATTTTACAATTATTTTTTACGTAGGTAAATAATGAAATAAGAGAGTAATCGAGTTATTAATTCGTATTTACGTTAATTACAAACACAAAGTAATTATCTTTCTCTAAATTAAAATGTATTTTTTCTAAATTTTAAACTATACAAAGATATTATTACAGAAAATCCGTAAATCTGATATGTATGATTTCGATTTTATTATATCGATAACACAAAGAAATGAGCATAATTCCATTAGAATACAAAAGCGCAGCGCTGGCAGATTCTATGACATTTTATGGGAATATCATGAATATCCGTGCGCGCAGATACATGAAAAATACGAACAAATGAAGCAAATTCGTTATAAAAGCTCTTTTATTTTTTCATGACTTTAATTAAACCAAAATGAATTAGAAATCTATGACAGAGCGAAAAGTATACGAAAAAAGGAATAGAAATTTATTCTGATTAAACAAGATTGCTTTATTTTTTCATAAGAAAATATAAGTGAAGAGAAAAGATACTTTGATATCTTATTGACTATTTAGTATTTTTTTATTAATGCTTCTGTATTTTAATCTCATTTCATCTTTGTTACAAAATTAATTTATTATTGTGAGAATAACATAATACAAAATATATATATATACATATATATATACATACATACATATATATATATATATATATATGTATATGTATATATATATATATATATTTTTTATATTGATATATTTGAAAATTAAGAGCAGGACGATAAATTATGTAAGAAAATACAATACTTATGATCATAGAGCCACAAGCGCTTAATTATTTAAGTCGTATTATAAACATTATATAAAACTTTGCATAACATTTAAATTATTAATACAAATGACTCTACAAAAAATTTACGTTATTATATCTATATGATTACTTATGCATCTACTTAAAATTGTCAAAACAATTCTAATGGCTCATGCGTATGGAGATATATTTTAACTTTACTTTAATTTCGCTAGGTCCGAAGTACTTAAAAATGTATTATACTGGACAAAAATCTTTCAAATTCATGCTACGATAGAAGAAGGAAACATATACTCGATACCTACCTTATGTCATCCATTTTCTCGAAAGGTCCATAAAAATACCGTCTCCTAATTGAACAACTGTCACGCAACGCGAAAATGTCAACTTGTATTACGGTTACGCTGAAAAAGAGATCTTAAGGATCGAAGAGCTATACACGTATTTTTGGAAAATTTTCTTCCGTTCTTGAATGTTCACTAAATAAACTTGAATGCATTTTAGCTCTCGAGAAATTTAACTTATGTCAACGATTCTCATATGCATAATTAATGTGAGACGAAGATTTTAGACAGTTGCAATAATAAAGTAAATAGAGCATCTAATAAATTTGCTTCTAATTAAACTATCAATTATTTGAAATGAAACACATTTCTGTTGCACTCATATGATATATTTTACTGATGTGATTCTAAGAAAAAAGAACAATTCGTTCTAGAAGAAATAAGATGTTTAATTATTGCTAAAAACTATAGATTCAAAAAGAACACTAAAGAATAAAGAAGTAACGTAGGAAATTTTAAAAAACTCTTTTTAATCTCTTTTGATATACATATATGGAAATAATCCATAAATAAAAAATTAGAAATATTCTTCTACTTTCCATCGATCATTTTATTCAAAACTAATGTTTATGATTTGTCTAAAAGCAATTTCAAGTTCATTACTCATTAGTTATCGGTTAATATGTGCATGAGATAAAATATCTCTTCAAATATGATGGATTCCTTGGGAAACATGAAATCGATATCAAAAATATGATGAGAGGTTTAATTATAAAATAACGTAGGAATTAAAGGCAAATTAAGTTTCCAAAATGTAAAGAGATAATATTCTAATTTCTCAGTTAATTTCACTCGTATTACGCTTTGAAGAACTTAACGCGAGTTTTAGTCATCCCCAGACATTGAGTGTCGGCAATTAAAAGGTTGCGATGCATTACGAATTTCTCCAAAATTATCGTTAGAGAACAAATTGCATAATTACAAAATCGAAGAGATTTCTGTGACATTCAAGTGATGTTACAAATAATAAAACAAAAAGTTAATCGGTTTAAATTTTAAATAGGGAAATGATTTAAACGTGAAATAGGATCGTGCGATTTTGCTCAGTTTAACTTCGACGCTCTGCGGTTGTCGAGAAATGTACCGATTTCTATGGTCAAGGAACATACTAAGTCAAGAAAAATGACGATTTAGTTACAAAATTTGATTTTTTATTGACGTAAGAATCAAATTAAAGCCATTTTTTTTTTACTTTTGTATGTTCCTTGAATGGATGTAATTATTTTTTCATACCAATACTGAATACAGTCATCAAAACTCAAAATTTTATTGTCTTAATTTTTCTTTGTTTCTCTCTATCTCCCCTTTTTCTCAATTTTTGTACTTAATTTTCATGAAAATTGCTGACGTGCACTATGTCGCGTATTTAAATCTCCGTCTCCTGATATTACCAAATCTTTCGCGTGCCTCCACGTAGATAGGAATGCGATTAATCGGAGCAATTCTCAATTAATTGAAGATTTTACCCTCGTTGACGAACAGAAGTTTGGTATCGCGTTGCGTGAAAGTGAAAACACTCAGAACTCACATAAAAAAGAAGATAAAAGATCCAGGACCGTCCCACTGGTGCGCAAACGGAACGGAGAGTGGGAAAAGGACGGAAAAGTTTTTTGATTCTCTTCCATCATACTTTTCTCCTCTCCGGTCCCTTTTCCTTTCACATTAAGAGCGCAGCCACTTTATCTACTCACTTTTGTCGCAGCGTAACACTTTCCACTTGCTACCCTCGTGCGTAGGCGGACTCTCGCGCTCCCCAATGTTGTTATACTGCGTGCGGGCGAGTAAAAGTTGCGACGACGCGCGACAATCGGGGGAGGGGGAGGAGGGATGAGGAATGTACGGAACGTGAAGAGATACGGATAGAGTGATACGGGCCGGGAAAGAATTAAGATAGAGAGACGAAGTGGCGGGATAGATAGAAGACGGGGGGATGATAGAAGAGGACGAGTACGCGTCTCGCGTGGATCTCACCCTCGTCGGGACACCGGACGTGGACGTTCGTGGGGAGGGAGAGGTGGCGACGGCGACGACGGTGATTTTACGCGCGTTTCACAAGTCCAGACACAACTACGACGTGTTCACGCGACGACGGTCGGAACGATACTGCGCCCTATTGGACGGCCCTGCGCAAATATAATGGCGCCCCTCTCCTGCGGTACGTCCACCCCAACCTCGACGTCGGCGTCGGTGCCACACCGCTAACCCCTCTCGCGATCTACCGTATGCATCCCACCCTCGTCGGGACTGGTCCGTCGGTCGCCTCTTCTTCCTATCCTTTTATCTTCCGCCCTCCGTTGCCCTCGGCCATCCTCCGCGACGGCCACCCTTTTAACTCCCCCGGCACTCTCGTGGCAACTTTCCTCAACCCCCTTGCTTCCTCACGCCCGATCTGTTGTTCCCGATCTTCGTCATCCTGGTCGTCCACCGCTCGACCCTCGCTGAGCCCCCGAGAGCTCTCTTTTATGACAACAACACGGACGCAACGACGAGCTTCCGGTACGCATCGATAACCACTTCCGTTCGCGCTCGAACAGTTCGGTTCGGCCCAATGCTACACGGAAGGCTCTTTTCTCTCGCTCGTTCCCGGGGAGAAGGACGACCTCCTCTTGCGCGTGCCTCGCGGAATAAACACCGGGGGTAATCGCGTGCGGTTAAAGTTAACGCTCGCCATTGCACGGGAATACTCGCTCGAGATACGCGCGCGCTCATTAACCCTTCTCGATATTTTTGCCGGATGAACGGATTTTAATTGCATGACTGGCTTACAGGAACGCTCAGAATAGCCATCGGGTGCGCAAACCCTTTCGTTTTGTACGGTCCAAATTGAGAACAACTTGAAAATTACCAACGTATTATTTAAGGATCCTCGTTGTGGCGGCGAGATAGTATTATTTCGAGGATTCTCACCGAGCGACAAAAGCATATTTTAAGACGTCCTCAGTGAGCAACCGAGGTTTGCTCACGTCCTAGTTACAATTTTATTATACATAATTGTATATATATATGTATTCGTTTACCTTAATTTACGCTCACTATTTAATTTTCTACCGTTTAATTTTACAGAGAGATTTATACATGAGTGAAAAAGGGTTTTTCTGTATGTAAATTTGTGCTTTTCGTTAAATATAAAGCGGCAGATGTAATACTCTCCAAATCTCGTGGAGTGAAATCTCACTCGAAGAGAGACTGAAAATTTAGTCTGTCTTGAAAAAAGTGTGAAAATACGGCCCCTCTTGTTCAAGAATGACAGATTTTCATTCTTTTTAAAGTGAGATTTACTCTTTTGGAATGAAATTTACTCCTAGAAGAAGTGAAATCTCAATCTTTTTTGGAGTGAGGTTTCATCTACCCTGCTATTACACTCCAAAAAATGATTCAGATTTCACTCCTTTGAAATGAATCTCGTTTCAAAAGAGTAACTCTCACTCTAAAAAGAGTGAAAATCTGTCACTCTTGAACTAGAATGGCTGTATTTTCACTCTTTTTTCAAGATAGAATAATAAGCTAAATTTTCAGTCTCTTTGAGTAAAATTTCATTCCACGATTTAGAGAGATAACAACAAATGTTAAAATGTGCTCTGATAATTTCGATAGAAGCTGCGCTTAATGTAAATATCATCGAAATGTATAGTTTACATTTATCCGTTAATATAAAATACATACCTTGCATATGAATGAATCACAGATTTTACGTAAGTAGTACAACAAAAATCTATCTCGAAAATTTTCTTGTTGTTCAGTGCAAAGGGGTTAACGTGATAAAGGATTCGATTTTTCTGACATTTTCCATCGCTAAAATTGGTCTGAAGTTCATAAAAGCGTAAGATTTGTAGCCCGCTTAAACGAGCTTTCCCTGCCCTCCCGAGTTTGCTTTCGTTTTGGCGTTAACGTTATTCACTATATTGCGCGAATAAAATGCAAAGAGAACGTAAAAAGATTAATAAAGAGTGACGTACGTGAAATGCTACGCCGAGCGTAATATAATCAACACATAACATTTGGCTCTTTTTAATTCCCGTTCATTACCGGTCAGCTACAAAGTATAGTATTTAATTTTATTATATTTAATGTAATAGAATTTCAGCATAAATCATTTTACTTGATAATTATATGGAATTACATATAATCGAGCTCATTTCACTGAACAGACGTGAATCGAAAAAGTAAAATTTTTACATGTATTTACTTTTGGAGAATAGATTATTTTGACATGATACACAGTTTTAAATTTCTCTTTTTAAACTATAAAATAGCTGCAACGTTTTCAACAACACTCTTTACATTTTTACAAATTCTTTTTTGCTTCTGAAAATAAACTCCGTTACAAATGCTCTATAATTCGCATCGGATTTCAGGATAAAATTCCGATAGTAATGTTATATGCTGAGTGTTTTGATATACAATTTTATACGTGTGTATTCTGAGCCGTCAAATGTTTTTTTTATATTACACATCACTAGAAAACTGTAAATAGGATTTTATCCTGAATTCTAGCGATTTATAAATCGACTAAAAACGGATTTAAAAACCATGTATAAACCTTTATTGCGCTATTTCAATTCAATTCCTATATTCAATGGGCCAATACTGCAGCTGAAAACGAGTCAATTTGAAAACGACTCGAGAATAATGCACATCATTTTATTTTGAAATCCCAGTAAAACCAAATAAACGCGTCGAATCTGCTTTATGACAATGCGTGATCCGCGTGTCTTTGATAGGTGGAACGCCTTTGATCGCACGATTGAATCTCGAGAGTGCAGCCCGACCGAGAAATATCACGGAAGTAATCTGCTTTGAGCACGATGACGAAAATGTTTATCATACTCCACCGCTGATCTCGCTACGGCGCGCACAAATAATAAAGCTTATCGACCCGCTGGGATATCACGAATAAATCTTGGAACTCCATTTCCTCTTGAATGACAACATCGTACGAGTTATCGCGCGACGTTTTCATGCAGAAGAGAAGTAGGGAGAGAGAAGAGGTAAAGAGAGAGGGCGAAGTAGTATGAGCGATCTCTCTGGCATTTCCCATTTTCGCGTGTTATCGTCGCCAGTAGGTCGATAAAACCTAGGACAGGTGCTACGCAGGTGGACGATTGTTTCGGAAAGAATCGACATTTCATGTCTGGAATAAGCGATACACAAATGCTCAGAGGAAAAAGCGACCCACGATATCTCCTCTGCTACAAAGAAAAAAGAAACAAAAATACGAAATAAAATATAAATGTCCCGTGAGAATTTGTAAATTGTTTTTATAAATTATTTAGTTAGTCTACTTTTTGGGGATGAATATTTGGAGATTAATATAATATATCGATAATATTAACTATTGAAACCGGAGCGCAACGTATAATGCATAAAACATAAGAAAATCGACCAATCTTTCCTTTTCATGAAATAAAAGATTCTCTGATTAGTCGATTTTCTTACAATATGTTTTATGCATTATGTGTTACGTAAAGATCTGTGCTCGGGCCTTTAGTCTTCTCTTTAGTAGATATTGATAAGTTTTTGTCCAGATCTGAAGAGTCTAACAAATTAATGAACTCTGGAAAATTTATAGAACATTTACTTTACATATACATATATACGTTGGTATTAGCAGATCAAATTGAGTCTTTTGTCTTTGGATGATAAGCATTTTTTTTTGCACTGAAAAGATTTTCAATAAAAATGCTATAGGTAAATATGACGTTAATCATTATTGATAATTAACATTTCTCGATAAAGTGTTCAATTATAGATCGGAATAATAATGTATAGCTCAATAGAATAATGCATTTAAACACTGTTTTGCTCTTGTTTTTCAATCGATACTGCTTATATCTTAATACCACAAATGAGAAATATCGGAATTATCTTATAGGAAATTAATAAACTCTGGTACACGTTAAATAATTGTGACACGTTGACAGCAACGAAAGTCGTACTTTATCGGTGTATACTTGGTAAGAGAAAGAAAGCCTGCATTTGCAGATGCATCGTCTATGTTAGAACGTTGCTGCAGCATCCGTTGCATGGTTGTAAACGTATCGCGCAAAACTTTCGCCTTTGCAATCTCTCGATTCGTTGTCCATGTATCTCAATATAGTTGTCTGTATGAACCTTGACCCGAAATTGCTTTCCACGTGTCACCAGTTTGTCGTCTCGGGCCCATCACTGTGGTTTTAGTCATTTATTATCTTGAACGATCTTTTACATGTAAATAAAATCAAGCGTTCCTTTATCAAAATTGATAAATATATTTCTAAGGCTAGCATTACGGAGAACTCTACTAGCTAAATTTTTCAGCATTATATAGGATAATTCCGGCAAATACGCCGCGCTAGGATTTACTCCGTAGAAGTCAGAAAAAATAGAAGGAGGGTAATTTTCTCGCAATTACATGCCTTTATGTTATATTAGTATTGTGTTATGATTTCAGTTTCTTACTGTTAATATTAATGAAATTATAGTGACTTGAATCGTTTTGTCTGTATTGAATAGCGCCATCATAATCTACATAAAATGATTACTGTAGGATGTGCAAAAGACTTGTGGTTATCATCATAATGCATGAGTGTAGGAGGAATAATAAAGCATGTTGTATAAAGTACTTTGCTGTTGTATTCTTTGTTTAGCTTGTTGTCTTGTAATATCCCATCTGTTTGGGATACACGACATTTTTAGCGGGCAGGATTTATATCTAAAGTATACAAAGTGAACAGATTGAATTCAGTGCACTAAATGCAATAAACGCATTACATGAAATATGTATC